GTTATTTGTACTAGTCAGAACTTACATATATAGCATAACTTCTTTTTAAAACATCTAGGATAATATCAGGGAAGGGAAGGAGAAAAAATATGAAACAATTTGGGACCTATGTCAGAACCCAGAAAAAAAGGATCAGTATTTAAGCCAGAACTATCTGTTAATGCAGGGGATGCAAAGAAGAGAGAAGTTGCATGGGGAGACCTTGCAGAGGGGTGGGAGGCTGCTCTGGCTGGGCTGGCTCTGCCCTGCACACCTCCATGTGGCTGTGACTCCAATACAGGTCTCTGGATCTTCTTGTGCATAACTCGCAGTAGTTTGCAGAAGCCTTGACAGGACCCTCACCTTGGAAGATCTGAGCTTTAAGACAATACTTTGAGTTTCTCGCCATTACCACAACTCCCAACAGAGTGGGTACACACTGTGAGCAGACCATTCAAGACAGAGCAGCTCCCTGGACCATTTTGCAGGCCCAAACTCCATGAGGGGCACCTCTACCACCTGCTATTTGCTCACCTGCCCTACAGCCAGTCTGTCCTGGACTAGTGATGTTGAGAATTCTGTCCTTCACCCCACCCTTTCCCACTTCCCCTGTGCCTTTGGGGCACATAGGGGTGGAGAAAAGAAGGAACAATAAACACAGTTTAGATAAGTTTGGAGTCTCAGCTTTTGTTTCCTGCCCTCCCTTACTAGCCTTGCAGCAAAGGGCCTACAACAGGGAAAGTTTAAGAATGTAAATTATAGTCTATGGAACACTGATGGCTGTTTCTTTGACTTTGTAGGGCCTTGGGGCTCTCTTCCAGACAACAAGGACTAGTAGATGGAGGTGGTACAGGGTAGAGTTTCCGAAGCAAATTTGGGGAAGGAGGTGATTTTTGCCCAGCAGAATACTAATAAAAGGTAGCAAATAACAGCTCTTAAAAGTGGTTGTGGGGTATTAAGGTCAGTGACAAGGAAGCCGTGTGCCAAGGAAAACTGCCCAACTTGCCACCTTTGGTCTCCTTCCTAAAGCTGAGAACTGGTGGAGCTGGTAGAATAATCTGAATGTGTTGTGTCAAGCAATATTTATCGAGCACTTTATGTAGGCCAGACCACTGGGAGATCTCAAGAAGGTTCTGAGCAGAGAGAGAATGCCTGTTAATCAAATGCTCCCAAGACATATTAGGTCACACTCAAGGAGATGGGGAAGGAAGTAGCAGGTAGGAAGTGGTCCAGGAACAGATCCTGACGGTGGGCCAAACAATGGGGTCCTTCAGGCTGGGCAGGAGATTCAGGAGGCCACGTGGGTTTCAATAATGCTGGGTTTGCAATGCTCGTGCTTCTATCTGCCTGATTATTTAGGCAAGTGGCCATGAGACAGGGACCATGAGCTTAGAGTAGGGTGAGGGCCTCCGGAAAAAGCAAGGCAAGATATTTACAGTCAAAGCAATGTAACAATGTAAAGTCCCTATCGAAACTCTGTGTTCAGCATTATGCAAAGTCAAAGTCACACCAATTCTTTAGGGTAAAGATACAAGACTAGGAATATAGACATCTTCATTGAGATCAGTTAAAGGTCAAAAGGCCAGGAGCACTTGGCCTGGAACATTTTTTTTGAGTGTTCTGCAAGGGTATCTCAGCATAACCCATGACTTCACTGTAAACAGCCCTAGCAAATGGACAACAAACCAGCCCACCTTGGGGGCAGGGCAGGTGGCACAAGTCCACACCCTAAGCCCTCGGTTCCCAAAAGTCCTCAACTGCCTATAAATCCCCTAGACAACGCACCTCCCCGGGCTCTCTTGTCCCCTCCTGGCATAAGCCAGGAGCTCTGTCTGTCCTCTCACTGTATCTCTCAATAAAAGCCTCTCCCTGGCTCTCCTACCTTGACTGTTTGCTAAGTTCATTCTTCAACTCCGCAAACAAGAACCCTGGCATCAGCCATGCTGAATTGTGCTGTGTCTCTCTCAGGCTTTCTTGACCAGGCCCACCTGGGAGCAATAGTTTGTCACTGGCCTAAGGGAGATGGGGGAGCTCTGGGCTCTTTGGCAACTGAGTAGGAAAAACTCACACCCTTGTGTTCCTCCTTTACTATCACACTATTATCCCAGTCTCAACACTCTGACACCAGATGCAGGGGGGACTTTCCCACGCCAAGCAGTTCTCTGTGACAACAGCTGGGTGTCCTACAATTTAATTCCATTCTGACACTATCTACCTGAAGACAGCATCAGATCCTACAGGTTAAGGGTCAGCCCACAAGGCTGCCCCCCACTTCAGACGCCAAACTCAAGTCCAGGTTGTCACCTGTGCTTCTGACCCATCGGCTATAAACTGGAGATTCCCATGACCCCTTTCTTGGGTTCAGTTAATTTGCTAGAGCAGCTCACAAAACTCAGGAAAACAGTTCACTTACTGTTGACCAGTTTATTATAAAATGATACGATACAAGGTACGGTTGACCGTCAGATGGGAGAGATGTATAAGGTGAAGCATGTGGGAAGAGGGCTTCCAGGCCCTCTGCAGGCACATTGCTCTCCTCTCATCTCCATATGTTCACCAACCTGGAAGCTCCCTGAACCCCATACTTTTGGGATTTTTATGAAGGCTTCATCACATATGCATGATCAATCATTAACTGAATTTCCAGCCCTTCTCTAAAGAATGGGGTGGGGCTGAAAGTTCCAAGCTTCTAATCACAGCTTGCTTGGCCTTTCTCATAGCTGCCCCCCATCCAGGAGCCTACCAGGAGTTGTCTCAGTAGAACAAAGGCTTTCTTATCACCCAGCACATCCCAAGGAGTTTAGGAGCTCAGTATCAGGCACCAGGGTCAAAGACCAAATATTAGAACAAAAGAAGCTCCCAGTGCTTGTGTCACTTAGGAAATTACAAGGGCTTTAGGGCAGAGACCAATATATATTTTCTGTCATTTCACAGCAACCAAGTTTCCCTTTTGTTACTCTTTGTTTCTACCAGAAAGTTTTATTACTGGCATTTGACCCAGAACACAGGATCTCTGTAAGTTGGACAAGGGCCGTGACGCCATCCAGGTTGACTGCTGTCAATTATTTGGAACAAAGAAAACCAATGCTGTTTTGTATTTCAGTGTATAAAAAGCTGTTCCTTTATATTGTTTATATATACTGTGGGCTCTTTGTTTGTATATTTTTATTAAATTTATGACATAAGCTTCTTTGCCTGTGTATAATTATTTGGATTAAGGAAAAACTAATTTGGTTTTGTGTTCTAGTTACTAAAGGGTTTTTCCTTTATACTACATTGGGCATCTTTCTCTTCCTCCCCCTCCCCTGTCCATTATGAATGTTTAAAACAGAAGGATCATGGACTTAAACTGTGTTCTGATGATGGAAGAAAGAGGTATTGTAATTGCTGAGAACCCATGATAGAGTTTCTGCCCAACCCCAGTTCCAGCTGACCCATCTGTAACCTCAAAAGAGCTGATCTGTAACTATTCAACTTCAGAACCAACCATGCTATCACCACGTATTTACATAGATGCCTTTGGGTGGTTTCTGCCCATTCTCTTGCATGACATGGGCAGTAAATATCATGTAAGCTGTGCTATTTTTCTAACCACTTTCTCCTCTTTCCCTTTTATTATTTTGTCCTTAAAATCCATTACAATTCCTGGATGTCAGACTTGATAGTTGTGGCTGAATAGTAAGACTGGCCAGGATCTTACTGACCAGGGGAAATCTGTTGCATTTAGCTCTGTGTCTCTTTATGAGTGAAAAACAAACCGAGTTTACACTGCAGGATCCTACAGCATAAACCCATGGAATCTCCTTAGAGGGGTTCTTCTTGATTTATAACCTATGCTGCAGGAGAAAGGTCTGAAAAGTCAGACAAGACCAGCACTTGAGGCGTTCAATTGTCCCTGTTCTTACTATATTATGGCAGACTCATCAATTGCAAGGAATATCTTCCTGAAATCATAGCAAACCCTAAAATTCAATAATAATACTCTATCATTTCCTCCATGAAATGCAACAAAATAACTGAAAACACTGGGGGACTCCTTTAGGCCCTAAATAAGACTTGCGGCACTAATGTAAGGAGTTGAAAACCACACAGCCCCATTCTCAGAGTCATGCAGACCTGGTGGCTAGCTAGGTGCCCTCATCAGCATCAACACACCTGCCTTTCTGCATATCTGATGCGAATTCCCACCTCAGCAACATCACTCCTAACTACACATCAGAATTATTGGGATAGCTCAAGAGTAGTCAAAACCATTAATGTTAAATCCAAGAATAATATTATGGCACCATTAATACTATGGTATAAACTGCAAAATGGTATTACTTATATGCCTGTGTATCAGTGGAGATGGAGAGAGGAGGTGAGGAGCAGGGTGATGGGAGCTACTTGATAATTTCTTCAAGATTTATCTCCCAGTGAGTTATTGTAACAACCTGGCCTTTATAACCACTTGTTTAAGAGGCTGACTCAGCAAAAGATCTGCCCTAAGATTGTTTATTGAATACACTTGATGTATACAAACTGGAAAAACTGTGACTTAAAAATTGTAAGCTATTTCTGATTCTAGAGGTAGAGATGTGATTTCACGTTTGAGGCGGACTACTGGCTTTACTTTAGGAAAATTCCTTGGATAGAATTTTAACTATACTATAAAACAAATGCCTACCATGGTGCTTCCAAAAATTAAATAAGCTGAAATTGACTGTTCTATTTGGGAACATGAACTGTTAAGTATATGTTTTAGCCAGGCCTATGTTATAATCCTTGCTAATTGGAAAGAAATGTTTCTTTCCCTGTGTGAAGTGAGGCTGATGTCCTGTGGCTCTTGTGATGTGAGTGGCCTCTCCTGAGGCTGAGGGCTGGGGACAGCAGCAGCCTTGGGAAGAATGTGCAACCGACTCTTCTTACAGGGTGAACAGTGACTGGATTGAGATCTGGCAGGCCAGTACTGGCCATCCCATCCCCAGTCCTCTGAAGAGACACCCTTTCCATGCCATGTCTTATCCACACCCAGTACTTACCTCAACAATCAGCAGATCATCATTTGAAATGGGCTCCAGCTTTTTATCTGGTGGTGTCTTTTCAAGAAAAGTGCTTAATTCAACCAAGATTCTGCCTCTGTAGGCAACTCCTTCCCCCTGAAAGCCAACAGTATAGGATTATTCATCTAGGCATGAACAACAGCAAAAAGAACTCTCTCTAGCCAGGCTAACCCAGCTATGGCTTAAAGGTTCCCCTCTCATGACCTTAACCTCCCAAATGAATCAGTGAGTAACTCTCTCAGCTGGATCCAGGTCTTTGGTATCTGAAAGAGTCAGTGACTTCAGGAGGGATCCCAGAGGGCCAGGGAAGGCAGGGCTGCCATGGGCCTTAGCCATGAGTGCAGGCAGGCTTTCCAGCCATGCTCCAGATTCAGGAGGGGTTCCCAGAGGCTAGGGGGAGGGGAGGGGCTCCAAGTCTCCCTCACCCTGCTTCAGCAGAGCAGCCCTGCATTTATCTGTGTTAACTTGGCTCCTATTCTCCTCTGCTTAGAATAAGGAGGCTGCCATGTTGGCAACCAGAGCAAGTCTCAGAGGAAATAGAAGAGAAGAGGAAGATGTCTGGGTGAGGCTGGGCATGGGGATGAAGAGCAGATACTCCTTCCACCATTTCCAGCAGTGTTGGCAACAGAATCTTCTGGAGAGACAGGGAAGGCTTCCATCTCCCCATCCCCCGGGCTTTCTCTCTACTTTAGTCCCTTTCCTGAGCTTTGGGAGACAACAAAAAGAGACTGCTGCGGTGGAAAGAGCAGTTCCCATCTCTGGGTCTCCATGTCCTCATCTATAAAATGAAGAGGTTGATCAGATCAGGGATAGCAGAAAGTTTCAATAGGCATCTCCCCTCCAATCATTGGGTAAACTCCTAGAACATGGTGTTGAACAGAATTCTGAGGCAGCACATTTGCTTATAGGCAAAGAGTCAACCTTGATTACTGACATCTTTCTGCCCTAAGAGTAGGATGGCGGAATGGCCATGCTATGCATTGGCAATTACCAAATTAGATGATCTCCAGGATCCTTTCTTATTCTTGCACCTTAAGGCTGTGGAGCATGGGACTTCTATTCTTCAATATTTGATCAGTCAGTCATATGGCTGGTCTGTGCGTGTGTGTGTGTGTGTCTCCCTAAATATGAGACTTAATTATAACCATTTAAAGAAAGAATCACATTAAGCAGTACTCATTAATAAGAAAACCTTAATAGAGAAACTAACCTTTCCTGTATTTAGCTCATCATAAGGGTCTGGGAATCCTGTGTACTCTCGGGGGCTTCCATAAAGGTTCAGATAACAAGGTCCAAATGTTGGAACGAAGCCCACTTCTGTTTCTCCTGTATTTGCTGAGATAGAACATCATAATTAGACATTAGGCTTTAACAATCAATCTACTGAAATAAATATTAGTCATTAGTTAGCTCTGTGAGACTCTTTTCCTCTAACTTTGTGAGTTAGTTGTATTAGTGCAAAGTATAAGCCCTTGCGAGATTTGACATATTTCCCTTTTCTTACTGCTATAAAATATTAAATGAAAAACATTTTGGGGTTAGTTCAGTTGGGGCTATGTTACTATTACAAAAGGATAATGCTATTCATATGAAAGAATATTAAGACTTTCAAGTTAATCTTCACATTTTTTGCAAGTTTATAATTGGCACTGTAATAAACATGTCGTTGGCAATTTGGATAAAAGATAATATTGTTTAATTAAAAGTCATTTAAATTATATATATCAGATTAACTGTGTTCTCAGAAAATGCCATTAGGTCTCATGTAGTTAGTGTAAATCATGCTGTTAAAAATATAAGGCATTCAACTGTTCACCATGTAAGAACTTGTTCACCATGTAAAAACTTGTTTGTTATGCTTCAGAAGATTGGAGACTGTTGAGAATTAGGCTTGGGGTTGATTAATGATTGTGCATTGAGTCCCCTATACAGAATTTTATTGTTGTTAATAACCATATGTTCAATAAATATGAGAGATGCCCTCTCAAAAATAAAAAAATTTAAAAAATTAAAAAATATATATAAGGCATTCAAAAATTTTGTATGTGACAATGAACTGCCTGCCTATGGTTATGACAGTTTGAAATTCATAAGCAACAGGAAGTCCCCATTCATGACATTCTACCTCTGATGAGCATTTAATATGCTCCATATTTCTGCTACTTGTTCTCAGCAAGACTACTCCCCAGTGAGAGGCACTGAGGGCCATGTAAGGAAATAGTGGAGCCAAAGGGAGATTGTGGGTGAAGATGGGCAAAAGAAGGGTTGCCTCCAACCCTCTGAACGACTTTCATATGGAAAAGGGATGGATCTGTCTCTAAAGCAGAGTAAGGACCACTGCAGAGCTACAAGAAAGCCAACTTTGGTCCATTCAGTGTGGGGAAAATCTTGTGACTTAGAGATGTCAAACAATGGAGAGATTGCATTGGGGATAGGAAATGTTGAGGCCAAGACTTCATCCTGTCTTTTAGGATATTGTTATGACAGTTCCTCTATGGTAAGAGGGTGATCAAATCACCTTTATGGTCTTTTCCAACTCTATTTTTAAGTCTAAAGAAGAAAGATAAATGTAGAGTAGCAGGTGAGCAGAAAGCCCATTAATAAACAGTTGACCAAACTCTATACACGTGTGTTTTGCAATGTTTTTCATTATTTGAGGCTCTCTTGCATGTGTAAATGGTCTTGGGCATTTCTGAGGAGAGGAAGGAACCATGCACACTAGCAGAAATTAGCTGAATTGCAATCTCAGTAAAGAGAGCAAGAGAAAAGGAACATTTAAATTCAGATGTAGGAAAGCAATAACTGACAGCTTAAGGGTGAGACTTGTTTCACACCTGTTTGGAAATCTCCTGTGAAACCCAAATAGGAACCAAGAATTTTTCCAACAGAGATTTCTCTGAATCATGTTTCCACATCACCAATGAGTAGGATGAAACAAAAGACCACTGTATCTGAACATATGCATTGGTTTCACTTATAGGTCAACTAACCAGCCATGAACAAGCAGGCTTTAGAGTTCTTTCCTCAGGCTGGAATATTTTGCTGTGGGGGAGGGGGTGTTGGGAGGGAATAGAGAATTAAAGCAGAGATCAACAGTGAGAAGAAAGTCACTTCTAGAAGTTGAATCACAGAATGTTCAAGTAAAACTGGGTGTTGAAACTCTTGCATGTAGTCATGCTACATTATGGATGGGTTAGCTGAATCTCACAGAAGGTACATGACTTATCAAGGGTTCCTCAAGATGACAGATTTAGGGCCAGATCTTTGGTTTTATAGCTCAGACAAGGGTACCTTCTACTGCACCATCCATTCCTCTGGTCTAGCCCCACCTCAACCCCTCCTAGTTCCCATGGGGGACTTTTTGTGTTGTTTGTCATAAATATTTGCTCTTCAGCAAAGATTTCCAAGGATGAAGACACAAATTTTTGTTCAGTATGATCTGTTGCATGTCACCCTGATTATCAAGAGCTTAATACATTTTGTCCAACCAAATCTCTTTCTTCAGTATTTAAAACCCTTGACTTGTTTGATTATGTATTAACACAGAAAACCTTCCTTCTGTGTGTGCTCATGTCTCAGCACGGCCTCCTGGGAAGGCTTATTCTCCAACAAGCTAAGTCTCTCCCAAACTTTTCTAACACATTTTATGCACAATTGTCACATCAAACTTCCCAATGATCTTCCTCAAAAGCCTATTCTAAATAAAACAAAAATTCCTTAGCTCTTTAGCTACAATGCACTTTACAAACAGTATTTTCCCCATTCGTCTCTCTGAGATTCTTTTGCATTTTGAACTTCTATACCTTATTACTTTAATTTAATTCTGAACCTTAAATAGCTGCTTATCTCTGTGCCTACATTATAAATTCCTTTGGTGGGTGGGGCAGAATTCAAGCAGGTTTTATTTTGATTTCCTTAACACCCAGTACCGGCCCTACTATGGATTACTACTACAGAAATATTCTGTGATTAGTTGAACAAATGAATGAAGGAATGAAGTGTTACCAAATCTGCCAACTTTGTTACAAATTTAAAGACTACTTAATAGTCATATAAATTTGATTATAAGATAAGGATATTGATTTTTAAAAACAAATAACAATGGGGCATTGCACCGATTACACCAAGGCAGATGAATACCTTATATCTGCACAGAGCATCAGTTTGCAAAGCTTTCTCACATGCAGTATCTCTCCCTTCTCACCACAATCCTGGCTGGTTAGTGTGGCAGGGATTATCACGTTTATTTGAAAGATGGCAGACTTCTCTAAACCTCAGAGCCCTCATCTGTTAGGGGAACAATACCATCTGCCCTAGGAGAGTTGTGAAGGTCAAGTGTGAGGTCATTGAGCAAACTTGCAAAGAATGGTGAATGCTTTGCAAACTAAAGGACATATTATGATCCCTCATATTGGGAAGAAGAAGACTTTCAAGGTACAAAGTGGAAAACATTCAGTATCTTCCAACCTAGAGATCCATGTTCAAAGTGGGGGAAAGTTATTTCATACATTTCCAACAATTGTAGTAACCCATATCTTTACCTTCTGAACATAAGCAAGAATAATAAAAAGCATTGTATCTCACAAACAATTATTTACAATGGAGCCAAATAGGATGGAATGCATCTAGGTGAAAACATGAGATACAGAGCAAAGCCTGGTCAGCACATTTGTTTTAAGCTTGGCCATGCAGGACAACCATATAGCACTAATAGAAAAATTAAGACTTTAGCAAAACTATTTGGGACAGCAAAATATCAAAGAAAAAAATTCTAAAGGCAATTAATTGATAAATTCTTAATAAGATAATAGAAAATAGGAAAATGTATAGCAAAATTACAAAGCATAAACCTGTATATGATGCAGCCCCAGATCCCGAAGATGAGAAATCTATATAGTAAAAACATGATTGGTTAAACAACAAGAGAAACACAGGCATTATAAAAGAGACATTGAAAATGTTAATCAAATCCAATGCAAGGCAAGTGATTTAGCAACACCAGAGAAATTCCAAATTCAGACCGAAATCACATGATTCTTTTTAAATTTATACAAGTCTCAATGATTAAATGCAAAATGGCTCAAACCTGTGACAACTGGCAGAACCACCACCCATGAAATAAACCAATGTCTCCAGCTTCTAGGCAGTGAGGCATCTGAGAAGAGCTAGCTTCTCACTGTCAAAGGAGACCTGGTGAAGTCACCAACACTTCATGCTTTCAAGAAAACGTTTACTTTACTTGTCTTAAGTATGAGTTAGTTGGGACCAAGGTGAGAAAGTCAAAGTTAATTTAGTCTGAAGCTGTGTAAGCAATGGCCTGTGGTTTATGGTACATTATTTGCTTCCTTTGTGGGGGATGCCTGCTGCTCACTGTTATTTTGAGACCCTGTAACTGACTGTCTGCAGAGCCTGCAATGAGAGAAGGTCTCAGAGAAGCAGGTGGAAACTGCTTGTAACCATTTTAGTTCTTCTTCACGTCACCGCCATATCACTAGGAAAAATGCTTATTCTAACATGTCTTGAATAATTATCTCAAGGTAATTTTTTAATGACTCCCTGCTAAAGATAAATGGATTTAACTCACTTTCACTCTTCCTTACCTATATAGTCATAGCATGATTTCTTAATTGCTCTATGGCTTACCTTTATGATTTAACCTAGTCTTTATATCTGGATACCTCACTTGATAAGAAGAGGCACAAAAATGCCTACCTTTTCCCTCTACTTCCCTTCTTCCTCTACATTTAATCTTTATTTTCTGTACTTTAAGGTTTATATTGTAATAATGGGCAATGACATTTACTTTTAGTTCAGAGTCTTGGCTAAAGATTAAGTAAAAAAACAGAAAACAATGAATAGTGCTTACATTATAGCAACCATATAAATACTGTTGTCTGCAGAGAAAAGTAAAGTGTTATGATTACATTTCCTGTGGTTCACGGTCCCCTATGCCTATTCAGCAGAGACCAAATTATCTCACTATACTCAATATGTTAAATCTATTGGCAATTACAAACATTTTTGTTATTTTTGTTTTGGTAACAAAAAATAAAATGCTGATATTATAAATGTGCTAACATTGAATTTTTTCTCTTATCATTTTCATTTTTTTCCTTCCTTCTTTATTACAGTTTCTGTCATATGTACACAACCATAATGCCAAGTATAGGCAAGTAGTTCTTGTATGGCAAACAATAAAAAGAAAAAGTGTATCTGTTATGAATGAATAAGATACACATTATCTTAGGGAATAAAGATAACATGGTCCATTGCCATCTGACCCCCTGTTCCTGCCACAGGAGTCAGTTGAGAAGGGAATATTATTTTCTATTTGGGTGGACCTGTGTCAGTGCCACCCTAAAAAATAAGGTGCTAGAGTTCTGTATTGACACTCAACAATTTATAATAAACCACTACTGGGAAAGAGTTTTTGGATGGAAGCAAGAAAGCTAACATCTTCAAGCTGTTAGTTAGTTGCCTCGATTATTACTCATTAATTAATTGTGTTGCTGGTCATCACCAAAACATCACTGAAATGGTTTGCTAGGCTCATCACATTTGGCTTTTAAGGAACCAAGTCCATTGCCAGGTGGCTACCACAGTTCATTCCTTTTCCAGAAATCCTGCACCCCATCTTATTCCAGCCCTGCTAAGTGACTTACCTTCCACTTCCCCACCCGAGGCAGCAATTTTAGAGAGGTGTAGATATGTTGTTCCAACAATATCATTTTTAGTAAGACGGTCCCTGTGTAAAAGAACAGGTTCAGACCTCTACCTAGGAAGATATATCTTCATCTCAACAACAACATGGTAGAGATGGAAAAGACCCTAGACCTCAGAAACCATCCTGCCCAGTGGACCTCAAGCTGTAATGTACTTTAAGAATCACCCAGAAGCCCCAGAGTGGTCACCTGAACTATACATGGGGTCCAAACCCACACTCCCAAGGGCTCCTGACAGACCTGAAGCACCTTCAGAATGTTTCCTGAGGACCCCAAGTGCCCTAAATCAAGCTTACACTCACTGGGAGGCGCCTCCATGGCCCTCAATTAACTGTGATGTGGCCATTGAACAAAATGAGACTTACTATCCTCCTCCTTGCTTCTTTGCCCCGTTGGCCACAGCACCAAGAGGGTGCTAACATGGGAGTCAGACGCATTTGACCAAAGGTAAAAACTATGGAGAGAGCCAGGCAGGGTGGGGGCTCAAATGAGCCTCTAACTATCTGAGTGATTGTGGCCAAGTTACCTGGCCTCTCTGAGCCGCCACGTCCTTGTCTGTAAAATCAACCAGTAATAGTCTATGCCATCGGGTTATTCTAAAGACTAAATGAGATACTGTATGTAAGGCACATGGCACAGAACTTAGTAGTGCTCAAAAAATGGTAGCTAAAATGATAATAACAGATGATGATAACAGTTGCCATTTCCACTCTCAGGGAGCTACAGGCTGCCAACTGATCTGGGGCCAACCCAAGAATGGCCTCAATTGGCCAATGATTGCTAGGAGGTTGGTCTAGTTAAAATTCCATAAGAACCTTTCAGTGAATTTCCTTTGCATTCAGACAAGTGGCTTTGTCCACCTCCGTTTCTGACAATAACAAAGAACAGCTCTCAGAATGATCTGGTGATTCTTCCCAAGAAATGGAGTAAACCATTTCTTAAGTAAACCATTTTGGACAGCTTAATGGTCTTTAAATCTCTGAGTTCTTATCTTGGGGCATTTTCAGATTCTTTTCCCCTTCTTTTGTTTATGAACAATTGAAGCTTTCCTACAATACTATTATTTTTTTTTAAAGAATACTCACCATTTTCTCCTCTGGAAGAAAAGTAACTATACTGAAAAGTAAGAGTTAGACCTTCTAGAGTGATGTTCCTCACTATCCAAATGATTGATTCTTTGATTTTGTATTAGACACCAGTCTACTTTTTTAACTTACCAGTCATATATTGTTAGTTTTATTTTTTCGCACACTGAAGGAAACTGTTAAAGAGAAACAGAAAAAAAAGAGTAGTTTTTTCTTTACTTGGTAACTATTAAAGTAACTATTCTTTTTCTGAAAAAAAGAAAGTCAAACCTTGATCTGAAGATTAATGATTTGATTCCACTCAGGGTTTGCGTTTTTCTCAATTATATTTGTGCAAACCTGTAAAATCACCAGAGCAAAAACAGTAAGTATTCAGGTTTCTAATTTCTAAAAGTAGATAGTATATACTTCCTAGATTATGAGTCTACCAGTTTACTTAGAATTTATATATGCTCTGACCTGGTTAAAGTTTATGTTTCTTGATAACAATTTGGTAAAATATGACATTAATCTTTAATAATAATCTTGCTTCTTCTATGCACTAAATATTTTCAATTGCCATATTTCTAACATTGGATTGGTACAATGCTGAAGGAGTTAATGTTTACTGAGCACTATTACATACTGTCTAATAAGCAGCTCTTCATAAACATGTCCAGCTCTTTTGATCCTGCCCAGCAACCCACTCCCCTCATAAACCAGCTCCTGCCCCAGTCTTTCCATTGCTGTTCACCAAGGTGTTCAGGATAGAGCCAGAGTCAGCCACACATCTCTGCCCCTCACATGCCTCATCCAATTCATCCTGACACCCTGATCTTCACGCAGATGCTCATCTCCCCTGACTCCTATCTGATTCTATCCCACATACGCCATGTCACTCCTTGTGGCATGCAACCTCAGTGAGCTCTCTGAGTACACTCAGAATAAAGTCCAGACCCCCGCTGAGGCTGGGAGAGCCTACCTGCCCCGTCACCACATCTCTGTGACCTCATCCCTTAGTTTTCCCCTTTGCTCGCTCCACTCCAGTCACATGGCCATTCTTTCACTGAAAATGTGTCTCCTTTTGAAATCTGAATTTAAATCTCTCTCCAAAACTAAGGGTATTTCCACCTCTCCCCTCACCACTGATTCTCCTAGAAAATAACATCTGATCCATAGGTGTGAGGTCTGCCACATCTTGCTTTCATACATAATGATTCAACTGTAGAATCTGTCTGTCTTATGTCATTATTCTCCTGTGGATTCCCACCTCCAATCTTCGACTATCTTTGTAGGTAAAAGTGGTGGTTGTGTTCTACACCGAGAGTCTCCCAGGTTTTCCCAGAGGACTGGGGTGGGGCTCCCCTGCCTGCTTCTCCACTCTCAGCAGCATTTTGGGGCCTAGAAGGGGAGAAACATGGCAGGTGTGATGACTGGGTGGTGGGGGGCTCTCCTCTATGACATTGACCAGGGATCATTGTTGCTGACTGGGGAACTTGCCGAGATTAAGATAATGCTGGGATCTGAAATATAATCCAAGTAATTCAGTGGTACTTTCACTAGTCCAATCTTTCAAAAAATTGTATTTTTTCCTTTGAGTCAAGCATACTTTCCACTCCAAAATACATCTGTGAAGTCTGGCCTGTTCAGACTTAGATCATCTGTGTGCCTGCAGAGTGCCTGGCTCATCAGGGAGCTTTTTTAACAAAGAATAAACAGGAATTTACTCCAAGAAAGCACAGTGGTTTAAATATTAATTTATAGAGGCATCTACATTTAGATAATGTACAAACCTTTTTTCCAGCAAAGGAAACTTCTACAAAAGGATCCACTAGGTTTTTCTTATCTGCGTTGCCTCCAAATATTTCCTTTACAGTCTGTGAGAAGGCATCATCCACTGGAAAGTAACAAATCACACACAACCAATTAAAATTGATTCTCTTAAAAGAATAGAAATCACTTGGCAAAACTAAGACTTTCTTCCTGTACATGCAACAGTTGCAACAGGATTTGTTCTCAAAAGTGGCAAGCATGAGTAGCTTAGTATCACAGAGATCATTTTTGTCTGAGTTGAGAAAGAAAATGTCTTCTCCCCACAAAGTTTTAAAATCAACAGGAGTACCTTGAAAAAGAAATCAATAAACATTATGCTAAGAATCAATCATTTCATGAGAAAAAATGCAGAATAAAGAAAGTCCATCTAGATAGGATAAGAGGCAATTCAAAAACTCAGGCCTGGTTTCAATTCGGAAAAGATGCTTTAGGTCAAAATGATGTAGGCCCAGTCTGGATTTTTCTGAGAAATTCAAGGAAATTTGGCATAATCATAAATAGCACATTTAACCAACTACAAACTGTGTACATCTGTCTTAAACTCAAAAGTGAACGGAGATGAGCTAAACAGGTCTGTGTAGGCAGTATAATGTGAAGTTTACTTTATTTACTTCAGTTAAGATATTTCTGAGGGAAAGATGGTGTGGGGAGGCATTATAGGGTGTTAAAAAGGTGGGGTGGGGAGGGCAGGAGGCTGTTCCCAGGAAAAACAGCAAATTCTGCAGAGATCCATGACCTGTATACTGGGTGCTGCCTCCTGGGGACTTGGAGAGGGTCCATGTCCCTCAGCCCAGCAGGAGTGGCCTCAGGCTGGGCAGGGCAGAGGGTGCTGAGCCCTCAGCAATGACAGAGGACTAGTGGACTAATCACTGTGAGTGATTCTCTTAAATGCATCCAATCTCTTAGTACACGTGTCTCATCATACAATACTGACAGACTTCTAGTTATTGACACTTAATCACCCTTTGCTTAGCCATTTTTAATAATATGATAACAAGCCCATTTATTTGTCTATAAAAATTCACATTTCACTTGGGATGACAGGAGTTGAAAAGGTCAACTCTGACCTCTCTTGAGTATTCTCTTGAATGAGGAGAAAATGTGGAACCCTGCAGAAAGAAGGAGTGGAGCAGAAAGGGCCAAAGGCTCAATAAGGAGCATGGATCAGTGACCAACTGGCTGCCCCAGGAACCCTCTCAGGTGGCTTTCAATGGAGCCATAAGAACGTAAGTCCATGAAGGCCTCTGAGAAGAAAAACATACAGTAGGGAGCACCACTCACTATTCAGAGTATGAGTTAACACATCTAATTATGCAGGTAACTGATAATCGTAGGGCAGGATCAAATCAGTACATACTCTGGGGGATGTCCTCTGCTCGGTAGATTTTCAGCAAGAAGGTAACCCACCGGAGGGCGATACCAGCAGGAAGCAGCAGATTACTCTCCACGTCATCACTGTCGTTATCACGGTCTTGTTTCTCAGGCTATTGGGGAAACATGATTACAAATTATACACAGAAAAGCAGCACTTGTAAGAAACCAACTGATGCCTGTAAAATGAAACCAATCAGAACTGTTTTCATTAGGATTTCCTGTGTTTCAGGCTTAAGAATTCAGCTACCAAGTCAGTCTCAAAACTGCTTTACAAAAATCAAAGCTCATATGTTTCTTCAATCAATACACCACAAGAATATATTCTGAACTTTCATAATTTTACAAGCATTAAATAGTAGAGAAAGAGAGATCCAGAAGCTCTTCCAATTTCTCTTTGGCCACATAGTTTCACCAGCTTGCAGCCCAATTTCCTAGAGTGACAACCTTCCCTGAGGTAGCAATGCCTGATTCGGGTAGTAAGCCATTCTCTGTAGGTAAAAGGATCTGAGGATATCTTAAAAATACACCTACCTTTACTGAATGGAAAACCTGCTCAGAGACACCAGGGAGGAGCCTAAGAGAGCTAGAATAATGATTCTGTCATGAAAAAAAGAAGAGCTTCTGAAAAACAGGAGGAATTGGAGGGCTGGGGCTATTGTCTGGAAGCTGTACTCCACTTCACAGTTACAGATGCCCACTTGCTTAACACTTGGTCCTCTTTTTTTAGTGAAAAAGTGTAAATGATAAAGAATGTAGGGGCTCACAGGAGGCTCATCTCCAGTTCCGAGGACAAACATGCTGACTTTCATGTAACCTTTAGCACCCGAGCTGGCATCTTCGGGGTCATTGAGAAGAAGCCATTTTCTCATGACAGCATGACCTAAAATAAAGAAGGAATAAAAGGAGAGGGACACTCTAAAGAGAAGGTGACAGGTCTGTGATTTTATCTGCTGTAAGATGAACACACATGTCCTGCAAGGTCTCATCATGACATGCCAAATTCCCCCAGTAGATCTCTATAATAATGTCCTCTGCCTTGCATGGACCACCCTCTACCCCCCATCCTACCTAGTATGACTCAAACAAGACTCTTTAAGCTCCATTAACTGGTTTTGTAATTTGTTTTTGATAAGATCAAGATAGCCTCACAAAACAGAGAAATTACCTAATTGGGAATGTTAGTATAATTACCATTATTTTAAAAAAGATCCATACTAAGCTATTATATACTACTATTCATTCCCACTAAGTATCCTTCCCTCACCTCAGTCAAGAAAAAAATTTTTTTTATTCTGATGCCCTAAATTGCCTTGATCCCCAGAATCTCAGGGTTCATAGGGAGAACATAACTTACCAGGTTCATCATAAATGAAGCCAACGTCAATCTAGGAAAAAAAAAAAATTAAAGTAGCTCAAGTAGATGAAATCAGTTTAGTCAATTCAAAGAAACCATCATTTTTATATTTAAATATAAGAGTTTTGGCTAGACTTAAATTTCTTTGAGACCCAACATTCCCACCTTACCCTCTCTGTTGACAATGTCTTGACTGATATGTGGTGCAGAGAAGACCTTCAATCAGTCATTTTGAATGAATGAGCTAGTCTCAGAGCTGGAACAGACTATAGAAGTAGATGACCAATGTGTGTGTCCCAGTTTGCTTGGGACTGTCCTGCAGCGCACAATGTCTCACATTTTGTGAAATCCCAAGCAAAGCTGGACTTTGGTCACCCTCTGGGAAGTCCCCTGGCCCAACCTCCTCTCCAATACTCCTCTTCCCTCTCCTCCACCAAATGCTAATGCTAATATCAATATAACAAGTCATCAGGCACTTCAATGTGCCCAGCACTGTTTTATACATTCTATCCCACTTAGTCTTCACAATGACCTCATTTTATAGATGAAGAAACTAAGGGTCAGAGAGGTTGACATGTGTCTAGTTGGTGGCAGACAGGGTATGAACACTTGAATATCTGACTCCAGAACATTCTCTAGGGCTTCTAATGACCAGGAGCTCCTTCCTTTAAGAGTCAACCCATTCCATGTAGAATTGCCTGGAAGCCCCAACCAAGTATTTGTCTCTAATTCTAATGGGAGTTACTTGGAAAAGCACTGATTCTCTTCCCAGGCCTGGCTTGCCTTTCATACGCCACATTTATACTACTGGCTTTGTGAGTAAGTGGAGCTGGCTGCCGGGCCACCTGCCGTGGCCAAGCATCCTTCCCTTTGTAACAGCGCGCTGGCTTCCATCCACAGCTGGAACACTGGGAAGGGCCCAGAGGTGGCAGTGCCCAGACACCTTGCTTTAGGGCACAGGAAGTGGTGTATTTTGGGAAGTTGACTAGATTCAGGGCAGAGGATCTCTGGCTCCCATGACATTTATGTTCTGCTGGCATTTCAGCCCTCAGCAAGGATCCTGGCATCAACCCCTTCCATGTAACCTTCAGATGTCACCAAGATGGGCACCCTGAGACTCTGCTTCTGATTCCTCATTATAAAAGTGCCCATCTTTCATATAAGTTGCATGAAACAGACTGCTGACACCCACCTTAAATTCTCCCATGAGACAGTCTGCCCGTAAAGAATGGGAATTATAAACCTGGAAGAAAGAAGAGCCATGGAAAAATTATTGGCTGTACCTGGCATGAGGGAGCACTACCTTCCTCCTCTACAGCCACTTACCCGGATGCTGATGGTCTCATCCATCAGTTCTGAAGGGGTTATGTGGACATTGTAGAAAAACAACTGTCAAAACAAAAGAGAAACATGTTTGAATGTTAGAAGAGGTAGACTCAGGTATAGTGGGATGATGCTATAATTTGGGGGCCTTCCTAGAAAAATATAAAACACAAACCCCCAATTAGGTTTGGTCATGTGAACATATTGCAGAGCCTCGGAAGAGGCCCGGAAGCTTAAGCTTCATGAGCTTCATGGCAAACTCACCTTTGCACATTGGAAAAAGCAAAAAGGGCAGAGTAACAAAACGAACTAAACGAAGCTGTTCATTTGGGACCATCTATCCACTAGCTAAATGAAGGAAAGATCCTGGGTGATTTCATGTTGCAAGTCTTACTGAAATGGATGCTATAGGGCTTGCATGACCTGGAAAGTACAGTTTAATTCTCTACCATTTTTAACTCTATCACTTGTCTAGTGATTCTAATTTTGTTATTTCTAACAAAACACCTTCAAAGCCAACTTTGCCATTAGATACTGTTAGTGCCTCAGTAGAGTCGATATTGATCATATTTTAACTCACTATAACAGCTAAATTTACAAAGGTTGAAACTTGGGAGCAATATTGGGTATACAGAGGTTGTACCATGTCAGCCCAATAAACCTTAATCCTGAAAGAGAAAGACTGAGCATTTATTTCAACTGAGACATTTTTCCTACTTTTGATTTAGAAATATTCCACATCTACAGAAAAATGGAAAGAATGACAAAATAACACCATCTTTCTCCTATGTTTATCAATTGTTACCATTTTGGGACATTGCCTTTCTCTCTCTTTTTTTTACTGAACTATTTGAAAGTTCTACAGACATTACACTCTGCTCCTTAAAAATAGATTGGCAAAGCATCTCCTAAAAACAAGGACATCTTTCTAAAAAATCACAATACTATTATTACACCCAGGAAATTTAACATCTAACATATAGTCAGTTTTAAAATTTCTTTAAAATCTCAAATTTTTAAATTCCTTTAAAATTGCTTTTAAAAACATTGTTTAGCTTTTAAAGAAATATCTAGGATTATGCCTTTCATTTGGTTATTGTATCTCTTTAGTTTCCTTTTATCTAGAACCATACTCCTGCCTATTTTTGCTGTTTGTTTGTGTTTTTCTATCAAGACCAGCTGTTTTGTAAAATATCGTACAATCAGGATTTTCTGTGAATGTTTCCTTGCTGTTAGACGCAAGCTGGCCGTCTGACAAGAAACATCTGACAACGTGGTGTTGATACACAGGCCATTTGTCCCATTACAGGTGAAGCCAAGTTTAATCACATGGCTAAGATGATATAGGCAAAGCTAAGGATTTCTTAGTAAGTTATTTTATAAATTTATGAATTGTTCTGTTTAGAGTTCAGTTATTGATTTTTCCCTTTGCCAAGAGAACTAATCTAAAAAAAATCATTAACACGAGACATTTCTTAGGTGGAGATTATGCTGGGCTCTGCAGAGTGTTGTTGAGCAAATATTTATCCTGCATAATAAATACATTATGCCTCAGGCATTGGGCCATCCAGTATCCTGTCCTCCCTGCAACCCAGTAGGTCCTCCAGTGTGAGTCTCTCCCAGCCAGTCCTGAAGCCCACTTCAAGTGCCCATCTCAGCACACACCCACCTCCTATGTTTGCTTTGATGCTGCTTAGCTCCATGCTGTTGTCTGCAACTCATCAAAGGAGGAGAAGTTAGAGGTAAGAAGGAAATGGAGCCTTCTGTGAAGTTGGAGGTCAGCTTGAACAAAGGAGAAGAAACAGGAAGACAGACAGAGAAAACCAGTCCCTTTTGTGGTAAGGAAAACGAACCAAAGCTGGAGTAGAGGCTGGGATCAGAAGCTGCAGGGAGCTAGGAGGGACTGTGATAGGAAATCCGATAGGAGAGGCCTGGCCTCAGGGAACAGGGCATGAGATGCGGCCCTGAGGAATCTCAGAAATGGGTCTCCTAAGCAGAGCAAGGCCAGACTCCAGAACTTCCCCAAACTTATCTTCACAGCCCTAATTGTGGAGTTTTGTGGTGCTTGACACGTCTGTTCAGGTACTCCGTGTGTCTGAGGAGTGTTACAGAAGAGAGCGATAGAACCAGGCTATGTTCTCAGGAAGGGAGAGAAGAGAAAACCCTTTTTGCTCATAACTGCTTGCTTTAATGTACATTTTTTTTTATAGTCAAATGGGTTTTGACATCTTTAAAAAGTCAGGTTACTTTGTCACACAGTCATCTGTCAGAGACACCCTGCTAACAATCAGAAGGAGCACAGGCAGATGTAGGTGACCTCAGAAGGGGTGCCAGGATCCACGAGGAGCAGCTGTCAGGAAGCTGCAAAAACACCAGGATGATACTGGCCCTCGGGACCAATGACAAAGCAGGCAAGGCGATTTCTAGAGCCAGTGGTCACCATGTTTCCCACCGGAACTTTGCCTTGTCTCTGCCAGTGAAGTCTGCACAGGAGTTCCCCTCCAATGTAGGACAGGGAAGAGGTGGGTGGAAGGCAGAAGGTGCATATGAATAAAATAGACTTATTGAGTAGAAACGTGCATTCTGCCCATTTACCTCATCAAAAAATGGATTGTTCCCTCTCTTGATTCTTGTTCGGTGTGTCTGGCCACAGATGTGAACTTTGACCACAGGCTTTATGTTGTTGCCACTTAACTGCCGGCCTTCAATTACTCGGACACGGATCTGCAAGCACAGAAAGGGCATTGTTATGATCCTTTCCCAGTGCACCATGCAAGAGAATCCTCAGGTGTTGTGTGAGCTGGGTCACCTGTAAGGATCGCTGAAACCAGGCCAGGGCAGGTTTGTAGAATAGCTGGTGCTCACGGGTTGGGAGCAGCCACCTCTGCGCACTCACTAGGGCCCTGGGGTTGTGGTGCAGAACCCAAGAGCAACTGTGGGGTTGAGATAGTCCAGAGCTGGCTTGGGAAAGGGTAGGGCATGTGGGGTGGAGGCCACTGCTCAGACCTTAGCCTCCTACCTGGTCTTCCAGAGTACTGGGAAGTCCTAACTCACTCCACAGCTGTCTCCCAAGGAAGCACCCAGAACTATGAAAAATGCAGTATCTGTGCTTCTAATCTTGGATTAGTTCTTTCCCACCACTGAAGCAAAGGAGAGATACATAGTTTTGTTTCTCTGAAGAGCCTCATCTGGCTTGACTACATCTATTCCTGCATGCAGGAGAGCAATGGAGAGATCTTCACATCAGGATTGGCTCTGACATCCCCTTTTCCTCACTGAGCCGCTGCCATTAGGAGTACGTCCTTCCCAACAACACTGCAATTGCCAGAAGCTGGACATTATGGTGGTAAAACAGGAATGCAGGGCACCCAGGCTGTTCCCACCTGGAAGTCCTGTGGCTTGTTGGACAGCATCCGCCGGCTGTTCTTTCCCTTTGTGAGCCTCCGGGCAAGCTGAGCTTCTGACACTGTCCCGCCTGGCCCCCTGGGCCCCGGGACCCTGGCTGTATGGTCTGGGTTGTCTTCATCACCTCCATCTTCCTCCTCTTCTCCTAAAACACCAAAGACGAATCCAGTCAGAGATGGCCCTCACCATGTAAATGTCAGAACACTCAGGTTTCCTGGACATGGAGGGTGTTCAGTGTTCCCGAGTCAGCCAATGGAGGAGATGCTGCTTGGTGACAGTGACTTGGGAGGCACTGTGACTCAGATACAGTTTCTCTATGTACATATGCTCATGGTACCTCAGGGGACTCATTCAGGCTGCCTTCAGAATGGCCAGGAGAACGCCAGAGACCAAGGAGAGGGCAAGAGCAGTGGCTCTGTCAGACCCAGGCAGAAATCACCTGGTTCTGATCTTGGAAGCCAGCCTGAGGTCAAGGGGCCTTTCTGTGGTTAGGCTGGAGAGATGCGGAAATGCCATGATTAACAGAGCCTTGCAGAGGAAACTTAAACTCCACCCTTCCCGCTACTGGTCTATTCTCTACAGATCTATTCCTGAGGTTTCGGTACTGTCCTCCTTCCGCCTGAGCCTCCTCAGGCATAAATGCCCTCTCTACCCTCATGGCAGATGAGAAACTCCCCTCTGATTTTCTTGCCAAGCAGACCTAGACGGCCATCATGCTCTCCCTTGTCCCTTCCATACACATCCATCTCCTCATGTATCCCCCTACCTTCCCTTTACAACTCAGGGAAAAAAGTCTCCAGATTACTAGAAAGAACCCCCTGTCCATGCCCCAAAGCCCACTTCCTTCTGTTTCTATGGGGAATCTCAAATGTCCTCCCCTCAAGTACCTCCAGTGGATCCTTCCCCATGGGGGTCTATACTCTGCCTTCAAATACTCAGATAATTTTCTCCTTAAAATAAAAACAAAAATCAACTCTGCCTACTACATCTCCCTTTCCTTTTATTCACAAACTGTTTGAAACTCACTGACAAACTTTAGCTTTCCCTGTCTTAATAGACAAAAAATGTGAATTCCTGGTTCTGTACAATCTGCATGATTTAAGAGAGCCCAGAAGGCTAGCCACCTTCTCCAAAACCCATCATCTGAACTCCCTACCTTTAGATTCTGAAACTCCTCCTTTACAGTGCAAAATCATGTAAAAGACATTTCCATACAGACTCATCTGTCAGTCACACACATCATAGTATGAATTAGTTTGACCCAATTACCATGTAGCATAGCTCTTAGAGCTGGAGCTCTAGAGCAATGCTACCTGGGTTTAATCCCAGTTTTGAGCCATATGACTCTGATAAGTTTCTTAATTACTGTTTCAATTTTCTCATTTTTAAAAAGGGGGAAATAGTAGTATTTATCACAGGATTATTGTACAGATAAAATTAATCTCTATGCAAGCCTTTAACACAGTGCTTGGCACAGATCAGCATCCAACATTATTTAAAAAAAAATTTTTTTTATTAAGGTATTATTGATATACACTCTTATGAAGGTTTCACATGGAAAAACAATGTGGTTACTACATTTACCCATATTGTCAAGTCCCCACCCATACCCCAATGCAGTCACTGTCCATCAGTGCAGCAAGATGCCACAGATTCACTATTTGCCTTCTCTGTGCTACACTGCTTTCCCCTTGATACCCCACACCATGTGTACTAAACATAATACCCCTCAATCCCCTTCTCCCTCCCTCCCTCTCCACCTGCCCTCTCACACCCCTCCCCTTTGGTAATCACTAGTTCTTTCTTGGAGTCTCTGAGTCTGCTGCTATTTTGTTCCTTCAATTTTGCTTTGTTGTTATACTCCACAAATGAGGGAAATCATCTGGCATTTGTCTTTCTCTCCCTGGTTTATTTCACTGAGAATAATGTCCTCTAGCTCCATCCATGTTGTTACAAATGGTAGGATTTGTTTCTTTCTTATGGCTGAATAGTATTCCATTGTGTATATGTACCACTCTTCTTTATACGTTCATCTACAGATGGACACTTAAGTTGCTTCCGTATCTTGGCTATTGTAAAAAATGCTGTGATAAACATAGGAGTGTATATATCTTTTTGAATCTGAGAAGTTGTATTCTTTGGGTAAATTACAAGGGGTGGGATTCCCAGGTCAAATGGTATTTCTATTTTTAGTGTTTTGAGGAACCTCCATATTGCTTTCCACAATGGTTGAACTAGCTTACATTCCCACCAGTAGTGTAGGAGGGTTCCCCTTTCTCCACATCCTCGCCAGCATTTCCAACAAATTACTTTTTGTTGCTACTATTGAGAAGTCACTTTTGGCTGGAGCCCAGAATGCTAGAACACTCCCAGGAAG